TTATCACTTTATCATGCGAGAGTATAAAATGTTCGGTGACACCCGAACTTAGCCCTTCCTTACTTGTTTTTATTATGAACAACTTGACGCTTTTTCGCTTATAACATTATCATCTTTATGATTCAAATCTGAAGTCAACAAAATCATGTTTGTACTCTTAACTGGTATGCTTCCCAGCAATTAGTGGAATCCCTCTAATTGAGTTTTACTTAAGTTGTCTCATATATTATACATATGAACGCAGAAAGTTAAAGTACATGCTTAGCTCGCACATATGCACATATGTATATGTATGTATATACTTAAGCCAGTAATAAATGACACTTGATAAATTTAATCAGTTCAAATGACACTTAAGTGGTAATATTTTACTTATTGGCACAAAATTTTAAAGTATACAATTTTCTTATTCTAGTAAATATTTGTACGAAACAAAAGAGCAATTTTAATTACTTATAATTATAAAGGCGGGGTAGCCTGTATGGCGATTATACTGGTTGCTTCCCTTTTGTAGCGAGTTATTCGTTTTGCTTTGTTATTTTCTGTGTTATTTTTTGTTAGTAAACAAGAAGAATAATTCATTCAAATTCAAGCAGAGTTTATGAAGTCATTATATTCGATACAAACCGATTTGAATAAGCCAGTTTTCAGTATCGGAAGCTTCGTCGACATACCTCTACATTACATTTCAATAATCCTTCGTAAGCGCATGCTAGTCCCTCAGTTTATGAAATATCTGCCTGAAAATTTGCTTTTGAAAGTGCTCATTTATCGGAATCGCTGATATGGACCATTATAGAATAGCTGTCATACAAACTGACCGATCCAACTCAAATCCCTATTTGAAAACTTTTTTATTTGACAAGGTATCTTCTCTAGTGTACGAAATTTGACATAGATTTTTATCCAAATATTCGCGAAAATTACCAAGGATTGTCCATCCGTCCATCTGTCCACATACGCGATAACTTGATTAGCGCTGAACATGTTTTTAAAGAAGATGTGAATTTGCCATCTAATTAATTGAATATATATATCTTTCCAACCGCTGAGGCTAACTCAACCAAACTTGTGGTAAAACAACCTATTTGCAGTTCTTCATATACTGTGGTGAAATATGCGTAGTAACGCTCACTTTTAGTCTTAATCCTTTATCTCACYAACAAATTGGCCAATTTTAACCAAATTTTTAAATTTCATCTGATTCTTTTACTCTGCAGAATGCTGTGTGATATGCATRCAGTAGAGTAAAAATGAAGTTATTACGGTAAAGCTTTGTCGAAACTGTGTCCTTCAGATATTTAATTTTACGCCCAAAAGTTTTTCAAATCGGACTATACATTTTCAAGTATCCCGAGTCCAAATATAAGGTGCATTTGATTGATTTTTTTTTTCAAACATGTCGGTCAGTCTAAGAGTTCTACAATTGAAATTCGGATGATAGCAAGCTCTTGTGCCATAGATGAGTAAGATCGGTTCAATGCTTCTCTTCGTCCCAATATAGATAATATAGTATGTAAATATTTTCGAACTTTTGGTTGACTTCATAACGCATCTATAGGTCACTATGTAATAAATTTTAACAAAATTACGAAAAAAATCACTTTGTAATAATACAGTAACTATCAGTGCTTGAACAGAGAGGATGGAATACTTTAAGTTAAAATATTCGGTAGTCGAAAAAGTTTTTTCGTATTTCGTAAAAAGTTACAGCTGTTCAAAACTGAGTGAAAGTATACTTATAAWGAAGAAATTCGCTATATTTTGAAATTTTGGTATAAAAAAGAGAAGAATGGCAAAAAGGGGTCGACCAAAATGGTACAAATTTTTGTATTTATTTATTATTATAAAAAAAAAAAATTATGCCAAAATGTTGAAGTATGTGATACAAATTCTAAACATCATTAAATCTTACATAAATCCATGCTCCAAAAGTCTTATTTGTTTAATGTTTGACCCATTCTCATTCTTTCCATCTCCTACCAAGAATAGTTTTCTCSAAAAGCCGCAGAAGTAAATATGACACGTATAGTTTGACCACAAKCACAGGCTCCTCTTCCTCCTCTCCTGCCTGAAAAAACCCAACTGAAAACACTTTCAGCATTTTTTTTTTTTAGTTTTTAATTTTTGCATCACTAGGGATACTCCTTTTTCCTTGAAAAATTCCGAATTTAACATCTTTTTCCCTTTTCAAGCTCTGAGTTTGTAATGCAATACTACACTACTACTTCTACTACTACTACTACTACTACCACTCGAAAATAGTGAAAAAAATAATTATGGCAGTAATGGAATTTAAAGGGACTGACGTTATATTGTTATACGGCACTAGTTCTTCACTAGTTATTTTTCGACTACTCGAATAGACACCAAAGGATATAAATAACCAAAGCTTCTGAGAGCTTCTTCTGACAATATTCACCTCTGTTCGTGTGTCTATATGTCTGTGAACTCTCGCCAGTTAGCCGGTCATAAATTACTTGGCATTTGTTGCGTCTATTAGCACCCTTAAAATGTCAAATTCTGACAATGTACATGTTGTGAACTTTGTCTCATTGCGGTTTACTGCTCACGCACGCACACGAAGCAGACAAGCATTCGCAAATACACACACACACACACCTACATAATACATTTGCACATGTTTAGGCACATATGTATTTATCACGTCTGACGTACTCGCTTCGAGCTTACGCAGCGGTGGTGGCCTGCTGCTGCTTTCGGACGAAATTATTTGTGGCCATGTGAGTTACTCAACAAGCTGCTGCTACTACTTAGCTTGAATCCAACCACATGGAGTGGCACACACACCAACATATATATACAAGCATTTGTGTTGTTGTTGGTATGGATATTGTATGCTTATAAATGTTGTATTATATAACTATTCGTCGATTCTTCTTGGCCATCTTGGCACAGATGCTTAGCCTGCCTCCCCTCCAACGCGCTCACACCATATGTGGTGCGTCGTGATCTCTGACCGGCTTTCCTCGTCGGCTATGCGCCTAAGCGTTTTAAGTGAAATGTTCTGTGAGACAATGGGTAAGCGTAAATGAAGCACATTTATCAAGTGAAATCAAGCGCTCYTAATGCGTTGGCCTGTGCTTATGGCTTATGGCGTAGCTAGCCGTCTACATGTTTAGGCATACCGCTGTCGGATAAATAACGGCATCGGCCATAGTCACATGATAAAATAGCTTGGTTTAATATAAATATGTGTAAGTTTTCCAAGTTGGGTTTTTACGAATTGCTATGTGCTTTTCATTTTGAGAAAATACCGCAGGCGGCCACACTTAGGCCATCAATAGGCCCATTGTGCTCCTGGCACAATTTAATGCTTAATCAGGAATTTTTTAGATTTGGTAGAAAACTCAATGTCTCTTATGTATGCACTGTGTTACTTGGTTTCCAAAACCTGATAAGTTCAATTGCTTCAAACAACGCTCGTCTTCCTTTTCATTTCCTTTTATTTCTGCATGACCTACTAAAAGTCTAGTTAATGCCTGCTTTCATAGCCTAACGTGATGATACAGTATTGACACTACGGATAGCTTTAATTACTGGGTATCCACTGCAACGTTTATCGGCATGCTGGGTATCACTCTTTTCTCCGTCACCGAATATGTAGACTTCGCCGTTGGAACTGCCGATCACTGGTTCAATTTTCTCTACTGGAAAATGAAAACGATGCCTTAAGTTGCTCTTGGATCTCCGTTACTCGGACGTGATGCGCGCTTAACCCGATTATTACAGTTAACTTACCCTGTCTACTACAGAATATTTGGGTTGACAATGATATTCATCTTCCCAGCATTTGTCGGGATTGAATCGCCTAGCCTAATTAAAGCCCCTGCGAGAGTTTCGTTGAAGGTTCGTAAATTTCCCATTCATCTCATGTCTGTGGTGGAACCCGCCCGTCTGCATTTT